ACAATTTTTCAAAATTACTTTTTTCTCTCTTACACATCAATCAATCACTTTTTCTCTCTCCTCTCTCCTCTCTCCTCTTCTTTCTCAATCACTTTTTCCTCACATATATCTACTCAATTACAACAAATATCAAATCATTCAAAACTCCCAAATTTCAAAACTACTTTCAAAATATACAACCAAACAAACCAAAACAATTTCTAAAGTCTCTCCCCAAAACAATTTTTTTTTAAAAAAATACTCTTCTCAAAACCAAACCAAACATACCCATAAATCCCAGTATTTATCATCCAATAAATTTTAATAATAATTAATAATATTTTTTATCAAATATTATTAAAAAATATCATTATAGTTAATTTTTAATGACAATTTAAAATTTTATCATAAAAAATATGAATAATTATAAATTTTAATGACAGTTTTAAAAAAATCATCACAAAAAAATGTTACTAATTTTAATTTTTAGAGATAGTTTGAAATTTTTGTCATCGAAAAATATTACTAATTTGTAAGTTTTAGCAATAATTTATAAAATTCGTGACAAAAAAAAGTTGCTAATTATCAAATTTTTAGCGACAAATGCCAAAAATGTTACAAAAAATTATTTTTAGCGATGATTTTACTAGAACTTAATTTTAATAGGACTTGATGAGAATTAAATCTAACTATTAGGACCTATGATGATTTAATTTTTTTTAATTTAATTTTTGTTAAAAATTAAGGTAGTGTTTGGTAGAATTTTAGAATTATGATTTGAGAATAAATTGTATTTTGAGTTTGTGAGTTTTGGAATTACGATTTGAGTGTGGAAAATTTGTTTAATTATGAGTTTTGAAAAGAGTTTAAATTGAGTTTGAATTGGGTGATGTGACATATGATATTTGATACAAAAACTTACAACTCATAACCAAACACACAACCCAAATTTTATTCAAAACTCATAAAAAAAATTTTTAAAATTCACAAAATTTTTTTAATATAAAATAACATGCAAAAAAAAATAAATAAATTAAAAATACCGAACACTATTCCGGTCAACCGGCTGGACGATCGATGAGACGTCCGGTAGGACGACCGTTAGCCCAAATTTTTTGCTTAGAAAGAGTTTTCGAAAGTGAGTGTAGAATTAATTTTTGAAAACGCTAAACAAACACACACTCAAAAGTGAGTGTGAAACTATATTTTGAAAGCTCCACCAAACAGCAGTTTTTTTGTATTTTTTTATTTTTAATAATTTTTTTTAATATTTTAAGTAATTTTTTTACTTTTTTAATGCATCTAAATAAACTTAAAAGTAAAATATTTATAAAAAATAATTTTCAAACAATTATAAATATATAAGAATAAGAAAATATATTGAATTTTTGTGTTTTTTATATTTTTGGTATTTAATGAAATTTTTTTTAAACAAAATTCATAATATGTTATACTTTTTAATTGTGTATCTAAAAAGTATATAAAAAATACTTAAATATTTTTAAAAAATTCACTAAAAATAAAAAAAATGTGAAAATAAAAAATTTAATTTTCAAAAAATTTAATTCAAAAGGAGTTAGAATCAAAAAGGTTTTTCAAAACTCATTCCAAAACCCAAAATCTATTTGGCTTAAGATTTTCACAAAATTGATTTGTTTGGTTTTCAAGTATTGGCCAAATAATTTTTGTGCTTTAGATCTATATGATCTAGATAGACTTAAACAGTAAATAAAAGGGAAATTACTGAAACATTCTCTCCAACTTGTATAGTAAGAGAGGTCCAACTTTGTGTAATAAAAAGGTCCAGGATTTTGTTTGGTTTTCAAGTATTGGCCAAATAATTTTTTATGTTTTAGATCCATAGGATCTAGATAGACCTAAACAGTAAATAAAAGGAAATTCACTGAAACATCCCTCTCAACTTTGTGTAATAAAAGAGGTCCAAGATTTTTTTTTTCTATTTAACTAAGGTTTCTCAACATTTTCAAAAAAAAAAATTCAACTGAAAGAAATTTTACCTAACTTAGAGAAATTTGGCCCGACTCAAAAAAATTTTAAAATTTCTTTGGTATGATCTTAGAGAAATTTTTGAAATTCTTTGTAAAATCAAAGAAATTTCTCTGTAAAAATTGAAAATTCTCTAAGTCGGGGTGAAATTTCTCTGAGTCGGACAAAATTTCTCTGGGGTCGAATTTTCTTCTGTAGAAACGTTAAAGGATCTTAACTACTATGAAATATTTTTATGTCATTTACTTATTAAAATCTTAATATGAAGGACTTTAACTAAATAAAATGTAAGAACTACAAAAAAAATTAATAAATCTATAAAACATTAATACTATATTAATTTTTAAATTGGTTTCATTTTTTTTTTGTATATTTCTCATTATTCAGTAATTTTATAAAAAAATTTATATTTAAGTGTGAAACGTTTTAATGTGTGTAGATTGAGTGGATATAAAATCAGAAAAGAAGTGTTAAAATTTAAAAACATCATAAAAAATAAAAAATATGGTGTGAACTTTGCCCTATAAATTAAATTAGATCTTCTAAAACATAATTTAGATTAGGTATATAAAAATAAAAAATAAAAAAAAGTAAACAAATTTGACTATAATATTGCCAAAAAAAAAAATTGACTACAAGATAAAAAAGAAACACCCAAACAAAAAACTCAAAAATTAGTTTTGAAAACTCATAACCAAACAAGCTTTGAATTTTCAAAAGTCTTTTCACAAAATTATCTTTCAAAATTAAATCAAACGTAGTCATAAATGCTAATGTGGTATGTTGGAGAAGTATTAGTTGGTCTTGGGGTAACGCCACGTATTGTTCCAACGGTATTGTGATTAGTAAAAGAGGTAGGGGCCAACGAATTTGTGTTGGATGATTGGGAAACATGAGAGAGTATGGTAAATTGTAATTGGTGAGGGATACAACTATGTATCGCCCTAGACCAACCAATAATTTTTCAATATGTCGGGCTTTTAAGCCCCAAAACTCCACAATCTCGGATGCCCAGCCTTTAAGACTGCCTAATAAATAAAATAAATAAATTACACTAATTTTCCTTAAAATTTAAAAACAGGGTAAATTTTACTTTACTCCCTGTGATTTTGATTTAGGCATGTGCAATTTATTTCCTAACATTTAGAAATGATCATATACCCTCTTTATGGCTTGTAGACTGAAGTGCACCATTAGGCCATTAACGATTTAATTAAAAAGACTAAGGTTTGTTTGGTTTGTTTTGTTTTTGGGAGAGTTGTTTTTGAAAAAAATTTGGAGAGTTGTTTTAGAATTTTTTTTGGTTTGTTGGTTATATATTTTTGAAAGTAGTTTTGGAGTTTGGGAGTTTGGGTAGATTTGATATTTGTTGTAATTGAGTAGATGGTGAGAGAAAAAAATGATTGAGAATGAGAGAGAGAGAGAAAAAGTGATTCATTGATGTGTAGATGAGAAAAAGTGATTTTGGAAATTTTTTTGAGAAAAATCTCAAACCAAACAATTTTTTGAATTTTTTTTTCTAAAACTCATCTCTAAACTCAAACCAAACATACCCTAAAGTACCCCGTATTATTCGTCATTAAAGTGCACCCCTTGTGTTTTATTTCATATGCGATTTACCTCCTTGAAATTTAAAAATGGGCATATAACCCCCTTATCTTTGCTACGAATTTACATTTGCTGTTAAGTTGGACAGAATGTTTAATAGTGCACTTCAGTCTACAAACCATGTGAGGGTTACTAGTCATTTTCAAATATTTGAAGGTAAACCGCACATGACTCAAACCACAAAAAGCAAAGTGCAATTTGTCCTAAAAATACAATTAATTATAGAGAAAATTCTTCATAAATCCATATTTCCTACCCCTATAACAAAAAGCCCATTAACAGATTTTGTTACATAAATACCACTTATCTGTTGAAATTTTTGTATTTAACCTATTTGTTCAAAATTTATTTTATCTGTTTGATTTTTTGAATCAATTTGTTCAAATTTTATATATATGTCAAAATTATTTTAATATTTTTTATCTATCTATTTAAATTATTTTATATTTTTAATTTAATCTATTGAACCTATCTGTTCAAATTTTTATTTTATCTATTCACTTTTTTGAACTTGTCTATCAATTATTTTTAAAAAATTTGTTCAAAATTTTTATTTTATCTGTTGGATTTTTGAACCTATCTATCCAAATTATTTTAACCTATCTGTCATAATATTTTTTTATTTATCTATACTGGTATTTTTTTTATCTGTACAAATTCAATCTATTATGTACAGATAGAGTCACTCTCTCTATATCCCTCTTCACAAACCTATTTATTGATTTTTTGGTCTGCTTATAAATTTCTTCATTATATATATAGAGAGAGAGATGGAGATGGAGAAGAAGAAAGAGAAGGCAGTGGAGAAAGAAAAGGAAATATGGAATTGGAAGAAGGAAGCCCTAATTGAGGAAGTGTCTGAGAAGCTCATCAATGACTTTTTCTTCTTTTTTTTCTTTTTCATTTCTTGCAAAAAAGACTAACCCATCATCCACGGCGCAAGTTAGCTTCTACACTAAGACCTTACGCCGATCTAATCCACTCTCTCAAATCATGACAAACCTAGGTAGCGTTTGGTAGAGTTTTGTAAATGTGATTTGAGAGTATGAGTTGTATTTTGAGTTTGTGTGTTGTCGAATTATGATTTGAGTGTAGAAAAGTTGTTTGGTTATGGTTTTTAAATAGAGTGTTGAAATGTGTTTTGAAGATGTATTTTGAATTAAGTTTTGAAAGTTTGATGTAACATGTGAAATAAGAAAATTTGTTTGGTGATGTGTTTTCAAAATAGTTTTTCAAAACTTAATTCAATCAATAATTTATAATCAAACACACAACTCATATATCGATATCCGTATCTTTTATCAACAATAATAACCAAACTATTTTAAAATATTGAAATTAAAATTGATTTTTTTTCAATTAATTTTTTTTCAGTAATTTTTGTTGATAATTTTTTTTAAATTATTTTTTCATTTTAAAATAAATCTATGTCAATTATTTTGTGTCAATTAATTTTTCTATCAATTCATTTTTTACGCTTGTACAAACATCTTGTACAATACGTTTTTTTATTTTTTTTTTAAAATTTTGTTAAAGTCAACAACTTTTGAGATACATATTAATAAAAATTAACATAAATACACTAAGTTTAATATGTTAAAATAAAAATCATACCGTAAACCTTACAAAACATTATCAATTTTTTTTCTCATTTATTACACGTTATTAATTTACTAATAAAGGAGTAACAGATTGACCATGCATTATTGTACTTCCACGATCCGCATGCTCATACAATTGGGGTGAATTGGCGCTGCAAATTACTATTTTGTCCCTCTTCATTTAAATGGGAAGTTGTTACATAAGAACAAAATTAAAAGGGTAATTTAGTAACTTCACTTATCTACTACCTATACATCATAGCTGTGTGTTCAATACTGAGCCAAAGAAAAAGGGACACGATGTATATCATAGTTGTGTATATCATAGCTGTGTGTTCAGTATACAGATGTACTATTATTAAAAAATTATTAATATTATAAAAAATAATAGATAAGAAATAAAAAGTAAAAAAAAAATTAAAAAACAAGCTGAACCTTCTGAACCTCAGCCTTCCTATAAAATCTGAATTCTCATTCCTTTAACCACACCATCGTCACCATCTCAGCTCCATCAAGAACATTAATTAAATTCAGTGTATCTGTGTGAAAGAAGATTTCAATTACAGGTTAGTTTCATTCCAGTTCATATTAGCTTCACATCTCATATTTTATTCAGAGTAGCTTCAGATAGTCGAAGAGTCAGAGGACAGAATGTCCGACAAGGACAACCGGCCGGTCATCCCATCTCACACCAATTATCTATTGCCGATCAGTTTTCTATCTGTTTTCGATCTGTTCCTGTTTTTCATATCTGTTCCATTTTTTTACACCAACATCATACAAATACATTTTTCTTAACTCATATGTTTTAATATATATTTTTCATACATTTTTCTTTCACTGTTGCAGTCATCATGCCAAGAACAAAACGAACCAGACCCAAACGTGGTGAATCCTCAAACCCTATACAACATTAACCACAGCAACAACATCATGACAATCCAAATAATGATTTTTTAACGTATCATCATGAACAAGCCTATTCACATTTTATTAATCGACCAATTGTTACGGGGAGAAATGTAAGACTACCTTCTCAATATGATCCGCTCTTAGTTGGTAAATTAGATACAATGGGATGGTTACCTTTAACTAATTTACCAAATAAGGTATACCCCAGTCTTGTACGATTATTTTATGTTCACTTGACAGCTGGTGACCAACAAAATGAACCGTTCAGTCTGACCTCCTATGTAAAGGGAAAAAATATCACACTCAGTCTCCGTGCTTTCGCACAAATTATTGGACTTGAAACAAGAGATTTACAATGCTATTTTCAAAATGAGTCTACCTTAGAAAAAATGTTTGGTGATGTCACTCAGATTTATACCACAATTTGTGACAACCGATTCAGCGGCACTAATTTACTAGCCAGACATTTAAAACCCCACCTTCGTATTCTTCATCGATGGATAGTTAAAAATGTCACTCCAAAAAAAGGCCATTATGATATTGTTTCATGTTTTAATGTTATTTGTTTATATGTTTTGAAATTGGACAAAAATTAGATTTATGCTTCATATCACTCAAAGAAATGATGATGCAAAACTCGATACTCTGTCTGGCCGGTCACTACCTTTTGGAGCTTTGTTAACCATAATTTTCAAAGTGCATGATGTCAACCTTGAAGGTGAAGGATATGTCAGAATCACTTCACCAATTTCTGAGTACACACTGACCCGAGGTGGTGGTGCTGACACCTTGATAGGCTCTATTAATATTGAAAATGAACCAATACCTGATAAAGGAAGAACCCAATGACAATGCCATGCCACCAAATGAACAACCCCATTACTGGACTGATTATTTAGCCTTGGAACAAGAACGGTACAATCAGTGCCTACAATGGGAACAACAAATGGCTAATCAGCTCAATACATTGGGTACTCGGTTCGATGAATTTGCCGTCACTCAGAACTCACTAATTCAACAATTTAGTGAGTTTCGTGTAGACTCAGGGAGACATGATGAAGTGACAAGGAACCGCATTGATTAGATCGACCATCGAGTCACTCAGCTGTACCATCACTATTACCCTCCACCTCCAACACCACCTGACAATGATGCTTAACTTGTTCAAAAATCAGTTTAAATGGTGAAACAGATGTAGTGTTACATGTTTTTTTTCAGTTTTTTTTTTTTGGTTATTTGTTTTCTTATTTTGTTGTGCTTGTTTTATTTTGTTAATTTGTTTTGAACTTCTGTATTCACGTCATGAATAACAAATAGTGTTTTTTTTTTGAAGCATTCTAAAACAAGTTACAATGTTATAACAATATGTACGAAAAGATTTTGCATTGGAAAAATTATTTGTACAAAAATTAATAAATAGAACTTAATAAATATCTAACAAATCCTTCATTTCAATAAAATGAATAAAAATTAAACAATTAAAAAATAATTTGTCTGTATCAATTAATACAAAAAATTAAATTAATGTTCTAAAATGAAATAAAACAAGTTAGAAATTAATAATATAAACATTCTTTTTTTTTTTAATGAAAAGGAAAAAAAAGTTAATATGAACAAAAATTTAAAAAAAAATAAGGTGTAAAAAGAAAAAAAAATTAAATTGATAAACCGAATTTATAACAAAACTTCAAATTGTTTACAATTTAACAAAAAGTCAAAAACACGGATATATCATGTATAAATATTTTTTCACAAAATTTAAAATAATAAATTGTAATTATTTTACTAATTTCAGTCATTATGACACCTTTATTACATTACTTCACCCACCACCTAGGACCCACCACCCACCACCCACTCACTACCACCCGCCTGCCCACCCAGGACCCACCACCTACCACCACCCATCACCTATCTGCCACCACCACCCACCACCTACCTACCACCACCCACCCACCACCCACCTGCCACCACCACCCACCCACCCACACCACCTTCCACTACCCACCCACCACCCACCACCACCCATCTGCCACCACCACCCACTACCCGCCTACCACTACGTATCGCTCTGATCCCTGTTTGTCACGACCCAAACCCGCCCCTATGGGTTTAGCACCGTAACCGGCTAGTAATTCGAGATTACCGAAGGCCTGCAGAACAGTAATACAGTAATACAGAGTACAGGGCCTGGCGGAAGCCAAAACAGTAAATAAACAATGCCCAATGAGCTGTGACAGTCTGTATGCAAAAAGACTTCTCATACATTTATACATAAACAGTACAGAACAGTATACACAATATTTACAATCATTCAGAACAGGGACTCAATCCCTGCATAACAGTACAGTAAACATTCAGTCTATACAGAATAGTAAGACAGTACAAAAGGGGGGAATTCTAAAACACCCTTAAGCCATAGCAGGATAGGCTCGGAACCTCGCAGTGAGGCACAAAGGCTGGCTGACAAAACTGGAGTTAGCCTTGACGCTCCTAGCTGCGGTCTGGTGCCTGGACACCTACATATATATATGAGCAGTGAACTAATGCCCAGTGAATAACATAATGCGTAAAGGGGTTAAGAATGAATGTCCTTACAGTAATAAAAACAGTTCATTAAATCAGTATTTCAGTCGTTCAGTCAGTACAGTCATATGTGGTACATCCATTAGCATAACAGTACAGTAAACAGTAGGTCTTAAAAGACCAAGCAGTAAATGATGGCCATCAGTCAGTAACAGTAGTGGTTCCAACGAGGGAACCGACAGAGATCTCTGTAATAGTAACAGTAAACAGTAGGTGTTAAGGATGCCACAATACAGTTCAGAATATAGGACATACATCCATTCAATTAACAATATTCAATTCAGAAATAGTACAGTTCAGTTGTTTAGAAAATAATCATTTTTGAACATATCTTTACACAATCGTTACTTACAGAGTTTGGGCTACAGTAAGCTAGAGTATGCCTCCCCAATCGCCAACCCTACACAGTTAACAGATTGAACACACTAAACTACACAGCTGGGAAAGATAATAACTTAACCCCTAATGCCTCGGTGTGTTCTACATCTATATCCTCAATAAGATGTCTTAAACTAGGCCTAAGAATGCCTAGAATGGGATGAGGATGCAAAGATGCACTTTTAAAAGCATTTTCAGAATTTTCAGAAAACAGAGTTCCGCTCGAGCGCAGGTTTCCCCGCTCGAGCAGACATGCAACAAAGGTACACGCTCGAGCGTACAAATCTTCCGCTCGAGCGTACTGTAAAAGTACTGGATGGGTGAAATCTCCGCTCGACGCCCGCTCGAGCTTGAGACACACGACTCCGCTCGAGCGCCCAATCCTCCGCTCGAGCGGACTGTAAAACAGTGCAGAGAAATACTGGATTCTCGGATTCTCCGCTCGAGGGCCCATTTCCCCGCTCGAGCGGGAGTGCAAAATCTGGAAAACCCAGATTGCACCTCCAAGCTCAAACCAAGTTTTAACAACTCAAAACTCGACCTCTTGGGCTGAATTTCCAGGAAACATTTGTAAACACATAGAATAACATGGTTCAAAGCTCAATTTAGAGAAATCAAAGCCCAAGGGTGTTTAATTCAAACCCAATTTCAAACCATTTTCATGAACATGGAGAACATGCAAACATGCATGAATTCAAATCAATTCAAAGCTTCAATTTGATGCTCTAAGGAGCCAATTGTTTCCAAAACATGATGAAATCATGGACTACACTCAAGACATGAACATGCATGGGACAATTTGCCATGAACTCAACTCAAAGTCCAACAATACTAACATGCATGCATGAATTATGCTCTATTTCAACATGCTAGAACCAATCCATGGCTCAATTCACTAAATTTGACATGAATCATGCAAGAATGAACTTAAATTCCATAATCAAAAGGTTGAATTCCTTACCTAAAGCTTGAAAGGCAAGTCTAGAACTTCAATTATGCAAGGGTCCTTCCAATCTACTCAATCTCCAAGTAAACCAAGCCAAATGAGATGAAACTAACTCTCTCTCTCTCTCAAGGTCGGTTGTGCACAAGAAATGAGAGAAGAAATGTTGAATCAATGTATAAACGCAAGTCTCAAATGTTGCCTAAGTGATCCACTAGGGATGGCAAGATTGTAATTAAGCCAACTATTGCAATTAGACGCATTTCAATCTAATTTACTCATACCTAATCAGTTTTCAGATAAATATACCATAAAATCATATTAATCATGAGGATCATAAAACATCAATCAATTCCCTGTTCGGTCGCCGATAAGGCCTTCAATTAGCAGTTTAAACGTAAAACGTGAACAGATCAAGTAAACAATCAAACAGATAGAATACAGATTAACATACACACTCAGTCAATTCAGTTCCAGATTTCGGTCAGTCAGTTCAGTGCTTTAATCAGTTCAATTATCAGTCATGATCAGTTCAGTTTAACGGTAATCAATGTTTATTGGTAAGCAGCGATGAGGGTTATTACAACTACCCACCTACAACCACTACCCACCACCCACCTGCCACCACCACCCACTACCCACCTGCCACCACCACCCACCCACCACCACCCACCACCCATCTATGACCACCACATTTAAGTTAATAACAACATATTTATTTGTGAAAGTTACTCAGAAACACATTGCATATTAAATAGAACATATTTAATTGTCTTTGGTAGACTATACATAAAATTGCATATTACACATTGCATAAACAACATATTTAATTTGGTAGACTATACATAAAATTGCATATTACACATTGCATGAACAACATATTTAATTGTCTGCGTTACTAAGAAAACCATTATCTTGATTGCCCATGTGATGATCTTTGTGTTTTCTTTCGTTTCATTGCCATTTAGCCCAATCATTGTCCTCAGTATTAGTTATCCTACAAGAAGATAAAAGAAGTCAGTAAATCACAGTTACATAAAGTAGGCGAAGTTATGTAGTAACGGTGTCATAATGGCTAAAATTAGTAAAATAATTACACATTTAAAACCAGTAGTCAGTACAATATTCACTTGCCTTGTTGACATCCCTTTTCTATCCATCGCCAACATGATTTTGCCATATAGCAGTAGCAATTGCGTCCCTAACGTTCGATTGGTATGTTAACCCATGTTGTGACATGTCAACATACTCAGCTTGGTCTCCAGCAAGCCCGTCTGCTTCTACTTCTGCGGCCATTTCATTATCAGCTTCCATAAAGAATGGGTCCATAGCTGCATGCAAACGGATCCAATTGTGCACTACACAACATGTAATCACGAGAGGCCCTTGTCTTGTAGACTTGTAATTTGGCATGGACCGCAATATTGGGAAGCGCTTATTCAGAACACCAAATGTTCTTTCTATGACATTGCGTAACGACGAATGTCGATGGTTAAGCAATTCCTTAGGTCCTGCATAACGACGACCACGAAACTCTTGCAAGTGATACCGTTGAGACTGAAATGGGGCAAGAAATCCAGGCATGTTCATGAAACCAACATCAACTAAATAGTACTTACCTACATGTAAATAATGAATACACAGTTCTGTCAATTGATATGTACAAAAAAAGACAAGGAAAAAAATGTACCGTATGTTATTTAGGGACAGTCAACATTGGGTGGGTGTGGGAACTGTAGATCAGCTCGTGTAATAGAGTCAACCAAAATAGCGTTGTTGTGAGCGCTACCTTCCCATCCAGAATTAATAAATGTGAACAACATATCGAAGTCGCAAGCTGCGAGTACATTTTGCGATACCGTTGCTTTCCGACAGCGGAATGTATTTTGTCTTGAAGCAGGGACCCATGCATCCACCAATGTGCCATCGATAGCACCGACACAATCCTAATTGACAGATATTTAGTTGACATTAAAAGCGAAACAAACTTGGATATTACTTTTATAATTAAAAATATATATATATATATATATATATTTATTAACCCTTATTGATATGTACAACTTACAGGACAGTCATATTGTTCGTACCTTGAACAAGGGAAAAAATCTCCTGTCATTTAAAATTTTTGCCGGTATGTCGTCTTGGTTACGTGGTTTGATAATCGATGATGCAAGCTTACACAACGCTCGCATAACAATTTTTATGTGCCGACAAATTGTTTCCGTGGAGTGTTGAAATCTATCTGCCATTATTCGATGACGATCATTTTGTGCAAAAGTGTATAAAAAAATTCCAAGCGATTCCTCCACACTGATATGCATATGTTCAGTATCGATAAAGCCATTATGGAGTAAAGTGTCTTTCAATAAAATGAATGTTTGTGCATCCATTCACATAACGTTCATCATTGTTTCTGGATGGCCATTTAATAGGCCGAAGGTGTAATCATCACCTTCGAACGGACACGTTCGCTGCGGTCGGCGACTACTTGCCGCGTTGATATGGTCATTCATGAAACAATCATCAAAAAATCCATAAAATCATCAATAACCTCATCCTCCTCTGATGAGATCTCCATTGTATTGTTTTCTCTGTCGGATGACATATGGTTTTGTCTACATCACAGTAAAGGCATAATTATAAAATATGTTATTCATACTGTAACAGTTAGCATTATTGGTGAAACATAATTAAAAAGTTAGTACATGAATAGTCGACCGTAGTCATTTATCAGTGTACAGTAAAATTCATAGGAGAAGAAAAATTATTTAATACGTGGTGATATCGTAATAACAGAACATAATTTGAATATAACAGAAAATACTTAAAAGTTCAACAAAAAAAAAAAACATACGAAGATAGAAAAGGAAAGAGGATATCATGGAATGAAAAAAAACAGAATAAAAACCAAATCAGGAATAATCAAATCATCAAACAGTTCAGCCAAGGAGATTTGTTAACACAAGCAAAACAGAACTTCTCACTTCACTGCAAAGTGAGGATCATGGCTAGGCGCAAATGGGTAGGAGTGCGCATAAAAAACCTTCGCCATTCCTTATCCTTGAATAGTGTCAGTGCCCTAACGTACTGCAACGGTGTTATGTCTCCAAGCTCTAGCAATGCATCTTGACATGCATCAAGGGAATAATCATCACCACCTGCACTTACAGTCTCTGTCTCATTTTCTCGTGCACGTGAATGTCCTGTTTTTGCTTGTACATAAGATGTGAAAGCTGCGCACACATCATCAAACCCACTTGACCGTGACTTTTTGGAACGATCACTGTCAGTCTGGCAGGTTATAGGGTCCCTCTTGTGACTTTTGCCCTTTGCTGGATCTATGTACTCATCCCCGAATAAGTCAACAGGAATGGCCTCAGTAGCATTACTCCCACCAGCATCAGGGTTCCAAAATTTATTTAACATGTCATCTTCTTCTTCTGAGTCAAGGGCTCCTTGTGTGGATGCACGAGACAACGCCCCTGTGGCACAACAATTTTCCACAATTTCTGCCATTTCTTGAAAATATTCAAATCCTTTTGTCCTAAACTTCTTCACATTTCTTCTAGCCTACAACAATTACAATTAAAGAATTAAGCACTGTATGTATCATGAAATGTTTAAAATAATATTCCAAAATAGTACAGATTAATGAAAAACCTTATCCCAAAATTCATCGGGTGCAACAACAGTGCCTATAATGGGATCCCATCCCAGACCAGTCTCTGCCTGGAGTCGCTTAAATGTCTGGTAATCAACTTTCAGTCGTTGATATTTTTGGCACACTTGCTTTCCTGTATACCGAAATCCATACATGTTGTGCAACTGATTTGCATAATGATTCCAATGCCTAATTGTCCACGAAGTAGTACGGCCCGTTGTTTGATTGTTTCTAATCTCATCTCTCAACATATTTATTAATTTCGTTTCAATTCTGGGCGTCCACATTTTTGTCTCTTGATTGTCATCAGAATTATTTTCATCCATCTATAAACATACAAATTATATTTAAACTAGTCTGGGGTGGATATACAAGAATAACAAAGCATTTTAAACTAGTTTGGGGTGGATATACAAGAATAACAGAGCAAAATGGTTTGAAGGAGAACACAGATAAGGAAAAAAAAAGCAAATGCTTTTATTTGAAGGGAACAAATACGTAACAGATTAGTTAAATTTAAATAGCATAAATATAACCACAAATAATAAAAAAAATCAGGTAATGTTGTCTTTAAATTGTACAAAAAAAAAATCAGTAAAAGAAGAAGTAAGAAGAAATAAAGGAGGAAAAGGAAAAGGAGAAGGAACGAAAGGGAGAATGGGTAGGTCGACCGGCCAGATGACCCGTGGGACGACCGGCCGGGTGTCCGAGGTACTTTTCGCTCAAGTTCTCTTCGTGCAAAGGTTCAAACAGTTCAGAATTTCAAATACAAACAGATCTAAAATGAAAAATACTCGTCTACAAATTCTCAGAAATCATTTCGGAACTGATTTCCACTTCTCTGAAATCATTTATACATAACAGATGAAGATTTATTTACCAGATTAAAGGTTGAAACAGTTAAGGAAAATCACAAAACATCTGAAACTAAAAAAAATTGTCGGCTACCCTTCTCACAAACGATTTGAGAACTGATTTCCACTTGTCTAAAATAATTTGCACATAACAGATAAAGGAATTATTTACCAGATTAGTGGGAGTTGAATAGTTATCGCCGGTGATGGAATGTTTATACTGATTGAATGTGCCACTTTTTGCTCGTCGGATTCGACAGTAGATTTGGTAAATTTGACCTGAAAAAAAAAATTAAATTAGGGATGAATTTTTCAAATCATTTCCCTATAACAAAATTCAATCAATAAATTTGTGAGTTATTTCACCTCGCACTCGTCGTTGTTTGGTTGCCCGTAATAAGAATCTTCCGCAAGGCACAAATTATAAGTCAGTTGATTTGTGGAAGATGATACCAGTAGGGAGCGGGTTGGGTGGATTCATTATTTATAAAATGAGTCTGACTTCTCTGTGAAGCCTACCCGTGATGAATGTTAAGTAATGATGTTTGATACAGAGAAAGAAAGATAAGGTTCACGTGAAATTTTCAGAGACGATGGAGAAGGACGATGGAAGCTTTTCAGATCAAAAGAGGAAGAAGACAGAAGCGTTGAAAGTGGAGATACAAGCTGCCAAACGGGTTTTCAAACTGTAATTTGAATTAACACGCGGAATTGTATTTTGAACTACCTATCCAAACGTGAAGCGGGAGTTCACATGTTGAAAGTTAATTTTTAAATACAAACAAACAGAGCCTATAATTTCCCCCTATATTGATTCTCTTCTAGTTTTCTTTGGTATTTTTAGCAAAATTTGAAGTAAAAATAGTGATGGGGTATGAAAACGAAAAAACCCACATTTACCGAAAAAGATGAAAGAGTCTTAATGATGGAGTTTCTTTCTCCTCCGACTCTTAGTGTCTCCACCACCACCCTCTATCTCCATCATCTCTACCCTTCGCTGAGATTGCTACCGATGATGATCCCCCATACTCCATCGCTCTTTCACCATCAAAACCCCTAGTTTCGCTTTCAACTCCATCATCCAACCCTTTTCCTACGCCAACACCATCTTCAGATCCTTTGACGGAGACTAGACCAACAGCAGCAAGATCAACGACCACGATAGCTCCGAAAAACCTTCGTCTTCATCACCGTTTGAAGTGAGAGATGGGTTGTTGGGCACAATTTGTACAGATAATGTGCTATTCTTATGGACCAAGTAAATTATTTGCTTGTCCTTACGGACCCAAACAAAAAGGCCCTAGGATCTATGCCCTTAAAAGTCTATAAAATGGACCTATGGCCGAAGCACACTTAATTCTATACTTTTGACATTATACTGATTTTCTTTAAAGTTTTAATTTGCATAACACTAAATTTATGGTTAAAATTGAATCAATTGAAATGAAAGAAATCCAAAATCGCACAATACACAAACTATAAACTATAAAGACTAATTTTCCCTTAGTTTTATTTTGTTTTATTAGAACTTTTCTATTACCATTTAAACTGATTCATTTTTTTATTTTTATTAAAAATAATAGTAATGTAGGTAAAAACTGATTGGGGCAAAAAAAAAGTGAAGTGCATATCATATGCACCCTATCATAAAATATGTAAGTTTATCACAAAATTTCATAATATCAACTACAAAATATGTAAACTCATCACAAATTGACATAACAAAAAATATCGTAATCAAGGCACAAACTTTTGCAACATCAATCATAAACCTTTAGACATTTTGTTATGCCAATTTATAACAATATTACGCATTTTGTTATTAATATTGCAAAAATTTATGATAACATTATATATTTTTGTGGTAAGGTACACATGGGCATAAGACTTCCCAAAAAACATGTTTGATTACAAGATGTCAAAAGTAATTAACCATCTTTTGTGAATAAAAAAATTCAATTCAATTCTGATAATAACTTATGTTTCGTTTAGGACAAACTTTTTTAGCCTCAATTTTTTATTTTTTGACTATTTTAACCTAATTAAAAAGATTCTGTTTAGGATAAACTTTTGATTTTTTTTTGTAATTGATTTGATAGTTGTAAGAGAAAAAATAATGATTATGATTTGGATGTGACATTTTGTGTTATTGGCTAAATTAGCCTATTTTGTCTTTTTGTAGGCTAATTTAGCCCACCCCATTTGGCAAACAAAGCCTAAATTTTGTTTTGTTTTGTTTTTGTTTTTGTTTTGTTTTTTTTTTATCAATAATTCGCTAGTCATGTGAATGAAAAATATAATATTATCATTTTTTCTGCTAAAATATATATTTTATCTTTATTTATTTTAGTGTTTGTTCACCATTTGCATTAGTTTCAATTGCTTTAACAAAGAAAGGGAAGTTAGTACAGTTATTGAAAAAATGTGGGTTTAACTGTTTTTTTTTTTTTTAAACTTCAAGGGTAATGTAATTTAACTTGAAAAAGTGATAAATTACAAGTTAGTCCTATAAGATTGACTTAAATATCTATAATATTGTATATTTTTTAAGGGGTAATTATCAATTAGTCCCATTAAGTAGACTTAATTATCATTTAGTCCTATTGCCTTTTTTTTTCTTTTTTTTATCGGCGAAAATCATTTGTTGGTTAATGCTTATGGAAGTTAACCTCCTCACGCTTTGCAAAGTACCAAGTGCTTGTCCCCTTAATTCAACTCTCCCTAAGGAGAGTTGAATCCATGACCTCCCTCTAGGGACTAAGCCCTTAGGAAAGTCCTATTGGCTTTTTGGATGCACCAATAACTCTTGCCCTCATTAAATACTTAGCAAAATCTTCCATTTTCTCCCATCTTCTTTCTCTATCTCTTTATCTTTTTCCATAAAATTTTTCAAAAGTTTCACACCACCATTGTTTACCACCGCTATCGTCTACCCACCACCACCACCACCATCATCACCATCCACCCGCCACCACCACTGTTATTGTCTTTTTCCAAATTTAGGTTTATTTTTCAGTGCTAAATTTATCAATCTATCTTTGTTGTTTATGTATGTGGAAGATGATGGTAGATTCTTATAAGTGAGTGAGTGAATATGAGTAAGGATGGTGAATATTAATGAATAAATTTACAGTGACAAATTTATTAATCTGGTCAATAAATTTATAGTGAAGAATTCATAGGTAAATAAGTCTAATTAATAAGATAGGCTAGTAAGTAGCCGTTTTTTTTAATGCACCAATAGATTCTAAAATACTTGTTTTGTCCAATCATCATATCATATCATGTCATATAGGGAACAATTACATCCCAAAAAAAAAAACAAAAAAAACCAAAGTTTGAATTCATAAAGATGGGGCGATTCCTTACTCTTTGCCCGACTCAATTTAAGTAATTAAAGAATTCAAGTCTAGATCGTACACCTCCAGTCCAAGATTCGAACTTCTCCTAAAATAGTTTTCGGTGTGAAATGAAATTCATAGGATATATATATGAGTAATTCAAAGGAAATATAGAAATATTTGATAGGATGAGCTTATATTGGTCATGGGTTGAGAAAGGGAATTGAACTCTATGAGATCTAATCTCCCGTTGTTCCTCAGTGGGCTAATAATAAATTAAAAGTTGCTCCTGCTACTCAGCCTAGAGCCTTGAGCATTGTACAAAGACGTGCTGTAGGAGTAACTCATTACCTTCTTATGGGGGTTCGTGGCAGAATTGGGTTCAACTCCCATAACCCCAATGTGGCGAAATAGAATGATTCGGTCTAGGCCAGGCTGGATCATGTGAGTTTTAGTTAACTTAACCGAAGGAGTTAAGGGATTCTTGCTTTAATCCATCCCGCCATTTTGGAAGGACCCTCCATTCTGATTGGTATATCATGAAAAAAGAAAGCCATCTGCACCAGGCGAGCTTCCTAGTATGAACTCCTAACTATGAGCCTATCCACACGACCTTACTTTGATAATGATTCTTCTTCTAATAAATCTTGAATTTTCAATTTTGTCAATTTAAATCATAATTTTTTTTTATTTGTTTCCAATCTAAACCATTCGCCTATTTTTGTTAAATAAACCAATAAAAGAAAGAGTATTTCAATTATTAAACTCAATGTAATTATATATAAAATGTCCAAAACACGTTTTTTTTATTGGGTTTAATGACTAAAATATCATTTTTTTTGATCGGTTTTGCATAACAAAAATAAGTAAATGGTTTAAATTGAAAACAAATCAAAAGTTTAGAGTTTCAATTGACAAAATTAAAGTTCAAGATTTATTTTGTTATATAGGTCAAACTTTGATTTTTAAATTTTTTTTATTATAATTTCCCCTATCATATATTATTAAAAGTAGTGTTTATCTTTATTTTTTTTTCTCTTTCCTATGTAACTTATTTATCATCTTTTCTTTTTTTCTCTCTTCTATGTGGCATATCTATCTTCTTTTCTTTTTTCCTTTCTTTTTTATTTT